CAATATATCAATATTTCGAAAAAACAAAGCTATAATTTGAAGCTCAGTGTCTGATGGTTCCAATAGTATATGAAACTCAGCTATATCTTGAGAAGCGAAAAACTAGATAGATTTGCAAAAAATCTATGATAAGTCTTTTTTTGACGTTTTTCTTATTGTCGCACTCCATTCATTTGATAAACACATTTTCACTAAAGAAAATAAAAAACATGTCAAAAATAGATCCAATCGACGCAGTTTTTGATGAGGAATCCATATATCTCATTGTAAATATTCCAAGGAAATAAAAGTTTCTTAAAAAACTAAAAAAACTTTTAAGAATTCAGCAATGTTTTTAGTTTTCTATGGAGAAATGGACTAGTGATGCTTATCGAAAAAACTTGAGTTTTTCTTCTTAATACCTTTGTGAACAAATATTAAAACATATATATTCTTACTCAGCTCAACGAGCTCTATCTAATCATGTTTAAAAAAAACGAAAAAACAATTGCTTTAATTTTGTGTTATCCACACCATACCTATATAAACTTGTATGACGAAAGGCACATTTCTTACCTAAAAACTCATTATCGATACATGATCACGATGATCCTGTGCAAATTTTCAAAAATAAATTAATTTCATCATAAAAAGAGTTTTCAAAATCCTCATAATTTAGCATTAGAATATGCCATTTTTGCTGCGCTTTCATTTGGTACAAAATTCATTATGGTTACGATTTGTTACCGTAGAGTTATCTATTGGAAAAAAAATTTTTTACACACTCTATATAGAATAACATTGATAATATGCACCAGTAGCACTCTTTCGGTAGAATCTGACATAGAGAATCAAACAATCAGTTAAAAATTTGAAGCTTCTCTTACTGATATTATTTTCCGACTGATTACTTACGGCATAATTCAAATCAAGTAACAGAGTAAGAACAGCTTCTTCATTGATGATCTCACTCATGTCAACATTTTCGCCAGAATGAATACGAAGGGAATTGATAACATAAGAAAAACTCATAGGCAAAGTTGTGATCAAAAACAGAATAGCACTTGATATCATTAAAAGTAACATTTGTCGTTGTAAGCGAGTTTGGCCTCTGCTATCCTGATTATTGAAATTTATAGGTTGGATACGTTTCTTTCCCTCGCGAATCATATAGTAGATACTGATACTAATAGTGATCATTAGGAATCCAGGTATCACCGTGATGAAAGCCACCTGAAAATTTAAAAATGATATTCCTGAATTTTCGATTACTTTTGTAATTTACCTGAATTATTTGCCACTGTACAAAAAAGAAAAACACATAAGGTGAACGAGTATCAATAGGACCACATGCAATTGACGGAGTTCCTGGAAATAATCCACCAAATAACTGACTACTTAACATATGACTGTGAAGAAGAATAGCAAATACGGCGGCAATTGATACTGCGATGAATGCGTTACGACGAGTACACCATTGATTAGTCTTGTATGGAAAACGTGTTCTCAGCCAACGATCGATCGCGATGAATGCCAAAATCCAAGCTGAGCAGAATCGAATGAATCCTTTCATAAACCAACGAAATCGACATATACTATCGTAAACAGATAGAAATATTCCTTCTTGTACTATACCAACCTCGACAAATTCAAAGATTGATATCATCAGATAAAAAATATCCGCCATGGCAAGCATAAAGAAGAGACATCCAGTTGACATAACACGTAGAATCGGACTCATGAATGTCACTAAACTTGCAAAGTTACCAGAAAAACCAATAAGGAAAACAAATCCCAAACCATAACGATAGAGAATCATAAGCAATATTTTATTAGGATGAATGATAAAAGATTGTTGTGTTACAGTAGTAAGAGTCTCGTTGCTGGTTGTGTTCATCTTCGAAAGAAAATTTAACATGAATGTTCCAGCGTGGCGTCTTCATATTAATACTACCATTGATGCATGCAAGACAGGCGACGTAGAAACTACCTTCGGCAATCTGCTTAATCAATATGGTTTATATAGATTTTAATTTTGTCGTCTTGCAGTATTTTCTATTGATAATCGCTCAATGCCATAAATCTAGCTACTGTTAGAATAACTTCAAAATTTCCGCCAATTCCTATTCCATGAATTACATAGAAAGACCAGTGTGATGAAACAACAGAGCATAATATGTTCTCTGTTCTCGACATTTATTTAATCATATCTATGGCTGATGATGTTGATTGTCATCATCAAGATATCCTAAGCTAGAAGCAAATAAGAATCTGATATATGTATAGTATCCGTTAGAACTAAAATGACTTTAATTAGTTTAATTTTTCTGCGGGGTACGCTGAGACAACACTTCTTAACGAGACAACAGAAAATTAATTTTTTCAAAATGTACGCACTTTAGAACAGAAAACAGGCAAACAACCTAGTCTGAAAAAAAAATTACTATATATATTATACTAAACAGCGCACTTAAAACACACATATTCATATTTTTCTTCTCTTTTCTTCTCAATCAATGGATTGCAGTTTCGTAATTCAATGGGTTTCATAAAATATATCATACAAACTTATGTTGATTATAGTTTTGAGAGGATAACGATATCATTCTCGTCCTATTGCCATATACGATTCAACACTCTTTGAAATCTGAGAGTCCATCAAAGTATTATGATTTCTTTCAGTTAATTTTTTTGAAAAATATGTTCACATAATTCCATTGATTTGTTTCTCTTCTTTACATGCATGTATATAAGATATTATTATTAAAAATACATTCACAGACAAGAAGTGTTTCTGAAAGTTACATTTTTGAATAATTCAAAATGCAGAAATGATTGATAATTAGACATTTTTCATGTTCTGTCAGGTCGACATCCGCTCAAGGAAGTATGCAAGGCACAAATATGATGATTATTACGGTTTATCAGTGTTACATGCGCAGAGACTGTAATAATTTGATGGTTTATAGAAAATGTAGAAGTGAAATACCTATCTTACACACTAATGAAACAAATCGACAAGTTGCTTGTGAGATACTGCAATAATATGTACTACAGGAATAATAATATTATGTCGAAGATGAACTTAACTCATATTATTAAAGCAATCAAGCAGTCAAGTATGTAATGAGAAGTCGATGTTAGAACTCTTTCAAGTGCTTTACAGCAGGGTAGTGAGGATAAATGAATCATGTCAAAACAGATCAATCTATATTTTTAAATACAATATGAACTGATTGATACTTTCAACTGTTACTTTTCAGCATCCACTTTAGTCGAAATAAGTATTCTTAAATATTATGCTTGAATAAAAATTATTAAATGAAAAAAAAAACAATGTCGATTTTATTTATGTCGACGTCTTTTGTGTTATCAATAGTAAAGCACTTTTCAGGGCTATGCATTACAATATTAGAAAGTTCTTCACGGATCTGCATTACACTATTAAAAAGCTCTTCAGGGCTCTGCATTACAATATTAAAAAGCTCTTCACGGATTTGCATTACAATATTAATAAGCAAAAAAGCAAAATTAATTATATAAAATATTTGAAGATAAAAATGAAAAATGGGAAAGAAAGTTAACTTACGGGAGAAATAATAATAGAAATGAACAACCTTCACACAGAGTGGGGTATGTTCAGATTAACCCTTTGAGGACGGATGGGTTATTTTTCACCCATCTATTCCTCAGTAGAGAAAAAAAGTGTTTAGTTCAAATTAAACTATTAAATATGTAAGGTCATTAAGGTCATAAACAACTGCATG